GGCCGAGGCCAGCCCAGCAAGAATGGGGGCCGTGCGCGTGCCCGCGCCGCTGCTGGCGGGTCGCACGCGCGTGCCGGCCTGCTGTGCACAGGGCGTGCCACGGGTGCGCGGTTGCTGGCAGGGTAGCTCGGAGATGGCCGGCCCTGCCGCCGTGGCGGCGGCGGCCGGGCCACTGGGCGTCGTGAGCCAGCGGCCCGCCGCCGCCTGGCACGTCGAGATCAACAGGCGCATTGCGCGCTGCCGGAGCGCGGCCGAGGTTTGGACGATCTCGGCATCACTCGAACATACCTAGAGACAGCGTCGTTTATTCCCCGGCGATGGCGGGCGTGACCAGGGGTTGGAGGTGTGGAGGGGGCTGGTCTCGTCACGATTCGCGCCCGCACCGTTTGGGAACGCTTAGGAATGGCTGATTGCCAGACGGCGCTGGTGCGAGTCGTGACATGACTAGGGGGGGGCTGGGGGCGGGGCCGGTCCCTGTTGCGAAAGACGCAAATGTACATGAATCCGCGCTGGTTTAGAGTACGCATCGCGCGAGCGTTCGTATCACGAGGCTTGTCTCGCGGACTGGGGGGCCGTATTCATGTACGTGGTTGTGTGCGTACGTCTGTTGTGGGCTCCGTGCATTCGGCGGCGAGTGAGGGGGGGAGGTGAGAAGGAGAAGGCCATCCCAAGGCGGCGGGACTTCTCGGAAGCCCTCGCGCCTTCTGAGGTGAGAAGGCTGTCCGTGTCTTCACGGAAGGCTCAGAACAGTTCTCAGCAGGCCGGAGGACTTCCGAGGCTTCTGAGAAGGCCCGCCCCGTCTCACTTCCCGTCTCGCCGCCGATGCATGACGGGCCTGCTTTCCACCACCACCACCACCACCACCACCACCACCACCACCACCACCACCACCACCACCACCACCACCACCAGGAGGACGAGGAGGAGGAGCAGGAGGAGGAGGAGGAGGAGGAGGAGGAGGAGGAGGAGAGAGGAGGAGGAGGACCCTCTCCCCCTCCAACTTATGGTGGTGGTGGTGGTGGAAAACAGGCCCATCAGATGCACGGGCGTTGTCGCGAATGATGCGAAAAGGCGGGCTCACACTGCGCGTGCGTCGCCCTCCCACCGGGGTGACGTGCGCGCTCGGGAATCTTCTCGCGCTTGTGCTCGGAGGCGGGCGCGTCATGGCCGTGCCGCGCGGGTAGCGATGTGCTAGAAGTAAGTCGGGCGTGTCCCTCTACAGGAGGAATATTCAAAAGTGGTAAAACATAGTGAGGGTATTTTTCCATACGTGTGCATCTATATATATATATATATATATATATATATATATATATATATATATGTACATAACGGCGCACTGGGCCCGGGGGCCGATGGCCGGAACCTCGACCGCAAATGTGGGTACCGGGGCCCTGGCTCGCCTCTGGGAGGCCTACAATCGCCCGAAGCCCTTCAGATGCCCCCACGAAGACCGAAGAGGTCCCCAAGAGGCCCTCAGGAGGCAAGACTATGTCCCGGCCTGGGTTAGAACGTGAGCGCGCGCGAAGCGCGCGCGAGATGGTTCTAGTATATATATATATATATATATATATATATATATATATGTATGCAATGTTTGACTATTGTTGAGCATTTATTTGGAATATTTTCCATTTTTCGTCCAAAATCAACCTCTAGGGGGACATGCCCGACCTAAGGGTAGCGATGTGCTAGAAGATGTCTGTCCAGACGTGCGCCTCCTGGGTGGGCGCATAGCTAATATCATGCGCCCGCCCTCTTGGGCAAAGCGCGCCTTTTCATACCGCGAAGTCCTTACGGCCGGTGCCACCGACCTGAAGGGGGGACGGCGGCGACGACGACGACGACGACGACGACGACGACGACGACGACGACGACGACGACGACGACGACGACGACGACTTGGGTCAGAGTCCTCAGGGATGTTGTTTGGGGTCTCGTCGGAGCGCTCTCGGAGGCCTCTGGGGGGCAGTTTTGGGGGCCCCTTGGGAGCATCTTGGAGGCCTCTTTGGAGCCTCTTTGGAGCCTCTTTTGGCTTCATGGGGGCCTCTTTGGGACCGCTTGGAGCCTCTTGGGGGCCTCTTGGGGCCTCTTGGGGGCCTCTCGGGGCGGAGGGCTCGAAATGTCCGTTTGGTTCCCCTGTGTGGGCACCATCTTGGTGCCCTCTTGGGGGCCTCTTGGGCCGTCTTGCAGCCGTCTTTGGGCCCTCTTTGGCCCGTTTCGGGGCCCTCTGGGAGGCCTTCTGGGGGCGATCTTTGGAGCCTCTTGGGCCGTTGGAGCGTCGGGAAGCTGAAAAGGCGAAAACGGTTAAGTCCTTGAACAACTCAAGGAACAGCAAGGAATTTTGCCTCTTGGGGCTCTCTTGAGAGTGCTCTTCGAGGCCTCTTGGGGCGTCTTCTGGCCCTCTTGGGTCGTCTGGAGGCTGTACAGACGTCTTGGAGTCTTGGACCGATAGTTCGGCGATTCGGGGTCCTCCTGGACCGTCTTGGGGGCCTCTTGTGGCACTCTTCGCTCGTCTTGGGACGTTTTTGGGCCCTGGCCCCCCCCCAGGGAACCTCCCCGGGACCCCCCCGGGACTCCCCCAGGACCCCCCGGGACCCCCGCTGGGACTCTCCCCTGGGACCCCCCCCCTGGCGGGGAAGGAAGGGATCAAAGGGAAGGGGCTTCCCTTCGACTCTCACGACGTTGCTTAACTTCGTTCTGGCTGGCGCGCTCGAGGAGGAGAGCCCAGGAAAAGGGGAGGGAGGCGTCGGGCCCAGGGAAAGAGAGGTAGCGGCGGCGACGGCGGCGACGACGACGACGACGTCGACGAAGACAGCCTCCCCGGCAAAATCAACCTTTTTCCCCACATCCTGAGTGGGGTTTTTGTTTTCCCAGAACATCCTCTCCTCCTCCTCCTCCTCCTCCTGCTCCCGCTTCCTCCACCATCCCATACTGTATCATACCATACCAATACCATGCCACTCCATACCATACCTTACCATACCATATCATGCATCCACCATCCCATACCATACCATGCCTTTCCTCACACCATGTTCTTTATCAGGTTTCGTGCCCCTCCCACCCCTCCAGGGAGGCCCCGCCTGAGCGAGCAGGGTATTCGCACACCATGTTATTTATCAGGTTTCGCGTCCCTCCCACCCCTCCAGGGAGGCCCCGCCTGAGCGAGCAGGGTATTCGCACACCATGTTATTTATCAGGTTTCGTGCCCCTCCCACCCCTCCAGGGAGGCCCCGCCTGAGCGAGCAGGGTATTCGCACACCATGTTATTTATCAGGTTTCGTGCCCCTCCCACCCCTCCAGGGAGGACCCGCCTGAGCGGGCAGGGTATTCGCACACCATGTTATTTATCAGGTTTCGTGCCCCTCCCACCCCTCCAGAGGGGCCCCGCCTGAGCGAGCAGGGTATTCGCACACCATGTTATTTATCAGGTTTCGTGCCCCTCCCACCCCTCCAGGGAGGCCCCGCTGAGCGAGCAGGGTATTCGCACACCATGATATTTATCAGGTTTCCTGCCCCACCCATCCCTCCAGGGAGGCCCCGCCTGAGCGAGCAGGGTATTCGCACACCATGCTATTTATCAGGTTTCGTGCCCCTCCCACCCCTCCAGGGAGGCCCCACCAGAGCGGGAAGGGTGTTCGCACACCATGTTATTTATCAGGTATCCTGCCCATCCCACCCCTCCAGGGAGGCCCCGCCTGAGCGAGCAGGGTATTCGCACACCATGTTATTTATAAGTTTTCGTGCCTCTCCCACCCCTCCAGGGAGGCCCAGCCTGAGCAAGCAAGGTATTCGCACACCATGTTATTTATCAGGTTTCGTGCCCCTCCCACCCCTCCAGGGAGGCCCCGCCTGAGCGAGCAGGGTATACACCATATATTTATTTTCGCACACCATGTTATTTGGGGTTTCCTGCCAGGGTATTCGCACACCATGTTATTTATCAGGTGGGAGGCCCCCTGAGCGCAGGGTATTCGCACACCATGTTATTTATCAGGTGTCGTGCCCCTCCCACCCCTCCAGGGAGGCCCCACCAGAGCGGGCAGGGTATTCGCACACCATATGATTTATCAGATTTCATGCCCCTCCCACCCCTCCAGGGAGGCCCCACCAGAGCGGGCAGGGCATTCGCACACCATATTGTTTATCAGGTTTCGTGCCCCTCCCGCCACTCCAGGGAGGCCCCGCCAGAGCGGGCAGGGTATTCGCACGCCATATTTTATTATTAGGTTTCGTGCCCATCCCACCCCTCCAGGGAGGCCCCACCAGAGCGGGCAGGGCATTCGCACACCATGTTATTTATCAGGTGTCGTGCCCCTCCCACCCCTCCAGGGAGGCCCCACCAGAGCGGGCAGGGTATCCGTACACCATATTATTTAGCAGGTTTCGTGCCCCTCCCACCCCTCCAGGGAGGCCCCACCAGAGCGGGCAGGGTATTCGCACACCATGTTATTTATCAGGTTTCGTGCCCCTCCCACCCCTCCAGGGAGGCCCCACCAGAGCGCAGACAAGAAGCAATGGAACCCCGTAACATCTTTATGTGGGGAACTCCGTCAGCATAATTATATCTATGGTTAAAATCGGGAGTGGACAGAACCCCCACCCTGACACGTCGATTAGTGAATTGTCTCTCGAGAGGACGCCGCGGCCATCCTTTTCCAGGCTTGCGCCCGCCAGGTTTGGGCCCGAGGTCATTTTCACGAAACCTCACGTTTTGCTAAAGGGGTCCTGTCCATCCCCGATAGAAGGGATGATGGTCCTAAACGCAGCAGGCAATATGCTGACACCCCCGCTGTCCCTATCATTTATCCCGGCAAAGCAACCTAACAGCGATGTGTAGGAGCATATCTGGAAGCATTCCCCTTAAGATTCAGATGAGAATCCTGTTGTAGAATTCTGCTGTTCTCGCAGTCGTAGTCGCATTCGCGATGGCAGTCGCAGTGGCAACGGCAGTCGCAGTCACAGCCTCAGCCTCAGCCTGCCTCAGCCTCAGCCTCAGCCTGCCTCAGCCTCAGCCTGCCTCAGCCTCAGCCTCAGCCCGCTTCAGCCTCAGCCTCAATCTGCCTTCAGCCTCGGCCTCAGCTTCAGCCTGCCTCAGCCTCGCCCTGCATCAGCCTCAGCCTCAGCCTCAGCCTGCCTCAGCATCAGCCTGCCTCAGCCTCAGCCTCAGCCTGCCTGTCTCAGCCTCAGCCTGCCTCAGCCTGCCTCTGTCTGCCGTCGGCCTCGGCCTCAGCCTCAGCCTGCCTCAGTCTCAGCCTGCATCAGCCTCAGCCTCAGCCTCAGCCTGCCTCAGCATCAGCCTGCCTCAGCCTCAGCCTCAGTCTCAGCCTGCCTCAGCCTCAGCCTCAGCCTGCCTCAGCCTCAGCCTCAGCCTGCTTCAGCCTCAGCCTCAGTCTGCCTTCAGCCTCGGCCTCAGCCTCAGCCTGCCTCAGCCTCAGCCTGCCTCAGCCTCAGCCTCAGCCTCAGCCTCAGCCTCAGCCTGCTTCAGCCTCAGCCTCAGTCTGCCTTCAGCCTCGGCCTCAGCCTCAGCCTCAGCCTCAGCCTGCATCAGCCTCAGCCTCAGCCTCAGCCTTCAGCATCAGCCTGCCTCAGCCTCAGCCTCAGCCTGCCTCAGCCTCAGCCTCAGCCTGCTTCAGCCTCAGCCTCAGTCTGCCTTCAGCCTCGGCCTCAGCCTCAGCCTGCCTCAGCCTCAGCCTGCATCAGCCTCAGCCTCAGCCTCAGCCTGCCTCAGCATCAGCCTGCCTCAGCCTCAGCCTCAGCCTGCCTCAGCCTCAGCCTCAGCCTGCTTCAGCCTCAGCCTCAGTCTGCCTTCAGCCTCGGCCTCAGCCTCAGCCTGCCTCAGCCTCAGCCTGCATCAGCCTCAGCCTCAGCCTCAGCCTGCCTCAGCATCAGCCTGCCTCAGCCTCAGCCTCAGCCTGCCTCAGCCTGCCTCAGCCTCAGCCTCAGCCTTCAGCCTCAGCCTCAGCCTCAGCCTCAGCCTCAGCCCTTCAGCCTCGGCCTCAGCCTCAGCCTGCCTCAGCCTCAGCCTGCATCAGCCTCAGCCTCAGCCTCAGCCTGCCTCAGCATCAGCCTGCCTCAGCCTCAGCCTCAGCCTGCCTCAGCCTCAGCCTCAGCCTGCTTCAGCCTCAGCCTCAGTCTGCCTTCAGCCTCGGCCTCAGCCTCAGCCTGCCTCAGCCTCAGCCTGCATCAGCCTCAGCCTCAGCCTCAGCCTGCCTCAGCATCAGCCTGCCTCAGCCTCAGCCTCAGCCTGCCTCCTCAGCCTCAGCCTCAGCCTGCTTCAGCCTCAGCCTCAGTCTGCCTTCAGCCTCGGCCTCATCCTCAGCGTGCCTCAGCCTCAGCCTGCATCAGCCTCAGCCTCAGCCTCAGCCTGCCTCAGCATCAGCCTGCCTCAGCCTCAGCCTCAGCCTGCCTCAGCCTCAGCCTCAGCCTGCTTCAGCCTCAGCCTCAGTCTGCCTTCAGCCTCGGCCTCAGCCTCAGCCTGCCTCAGCCTCAGCCTGCCTCAGCCTCAGCCTCAGCCTGCCTCAGCATTCAAAATGTGGCCCGGGAATGGAGTTCTGGGAACTCGAAGAACACGAAGTGGCCTACAGTTGGCTCGGGGCATTCAAAATCATGCCCAGGAATGGAGTTCTGGGAACTCGAAGACCACCGAGTGGCCTACAGTTGGCTCTGGGCATTCAAAATGTGGCCCGGGAATGAAGTTCTGGGAACTCGAAGAGCACGAAGTGGCCTACAGCTGGCTCCGGGCATTCAAAATGTGGCCCGGGAATGGAGTTCTGGGAACTCGAAGACCACGAAGTGGCCTACAGTCGGCTCCGGGCATTCAGAATGTGGCCCGGGAATGGAGTTCTGGGACCTCGAAGACCACGAAGTGTGTAACTCTTAGAAAAAAGCTCCCGGCACCCTCCCCCGAATCGCGCCCAGACCCCCCTGGGGCGTCATGATGCTCTACTAGAAACCTATCAGTCTTCGCTGTTGGGTAAAAACCAATGCAATGTGAGCGCGGGGCGTCCGCGCATGATCCAGATCATGGTGCAACGCGCACTTTGTCTGGTCGTCTTCCCGCGTCCCAGACGCCGTCAACCGTGCACCAGACCAGCTCGATGCACGGGGCCGTGCGCGCCGGCACTCGCGGAGGCCTGCATCGAGCTGGTCTGGTGCGCGGCTGGCGTCGTCCGAGAGGTGCTGGACCTGTGCGGCGCCAGCCTGCAGGACTTCAACGAGGTGAACATCGCCACTGCCCTGCACCGCGTCGCCCGCCTGGGGGCGGGAGCCCATCTCGAGAATCAAACAATGGCATTGCTTGGCGAAGGACCCAACCCTGTCTAAGCACAGGGCGGCTACAGACGGGACCGCTGAATTCACAAGGACACAGTCATCCCATGAAACGTGTGAGAGGTGTGCCGAAAAGGGGCGGGCCACCATGCGGACCCTGCCACTGGGGCCTTCGGTGGAGCTCGCCATGAGGCCACGAAACGTAGGATGGGTGCGCCGAAATGGGGCGGGTGCACCATGCGAACGCAGCCACTGGGGCTTCCGGTTGAGCTCCCCAACACGAAACGTGTGAGGGGTGCGCCGACATGGCGCGAGTCACCATGCGGACCCTGCCACTGGGGCCTTCGGTGGAGCTCCTTAGTGGGCCACGAAACATGTGAGGGGCGCGCCGAAACGGGACGAGTCACCGCGCGGACCCTGCCACTGGGGCCTTCGGTGGAGGTCCTTATGGTGCCACGAAGCGTGCGAGGAATGCGCCGACATGAGGCTGGTGGCGTCATGCGACCGCAGCCACTGGAGCCTTCGGTGGAGCTCCTTAAAGGCCACGAAGCGTGGGAGAGGTGTGCCAGAAGGGACCCGAGTCACCATGTGGAAGCAGCCAGGCCATGAAACGTGGTTGGGGTGTGCCAGAAGGGGCCTGAGTCACCATAAGGACGCAGCCACCGGGGTTTTCGATGGAGCTCCTCATCGTGCCACGAAACGTGGGAGGGGAGTGCCAGACGGGATCCGAGTCACCATGCGACCATGCGGACGCAGCCACTGAGGCCTATTGGGGCCTTCGTGGAGCTCTCTAGGGGGTCATGAAGCGTGTGACAGATGTTCCAGAAAGGGCCCGAGTCACCATGCGGATGCAGCCTCTGGGACCACGAAACGTGTGAGGTGTACCGAAGCGGTGGTGAGGATGGTTCTGGTGGTATGACGGCGATGGTGGCGATGACGATGATGACGATAATTATGATAACGATGAGGCTGATGGCAAGGTCAAAGAGGAGGAGGAGGAGGAGGAGGAGGAGGAGGAGGAGGAGGATGGGGTAGGAGGAGGAGGAGGAGGAGGAGGAGGAGGAGGAGGAAGAAAAGAGGATTCAAAGCGAGGACCCATCCCACAGAAGGGTTGGGAACAAGCCTTGCCTTTCGCAGGTCCGCGCGGACCCTTGGGTCGGCGCTCTGGACCCCACGCCCCCTGGCGCTCTCCGCGCGCCGGCGGCGGCGCCGCGCGCGCAGCTCCGAAAGTTTACGTCTGTGCCGTCGTTTTGTTTCTCGAGCATCGGCGCGGCGACTGAGCGGCGGGGCTGCGGCGGGCGCCGGCAGGCTCTCGCTGCGAGGGAGAGGCACGCCCTCGACCATCGGCGGGCGAGGGAGCGGAGGGGGCTGCGGCGGGGCTGCGGCGGGGCCGGGGCGACGGAGCGGCGGGGCTGCGGCCGGGGTGGGGCCGCCATCGCGCCGGGGGCCGCGGCCTGGGCAGACGGGGCGCTCGAGAGGCCGGGGCGCTACCCGCGCGCAGGCTCTGCGGGGAGCGCTGCCGCCGCGGCGAGGACAGGAACAGAGCGAGCTGATGAGCGAGCTGATGTACACCAGCTTGGCGGCGCGCAGATCGCGGCTACCGAGACGGGTACGGAAAGGATGGGCACAACGGCCGACAGCGGTTCTTGTTCATTTGTCACAGGACTCGCTGTCGGTGTCGCCGCTGGCTGTGTCCATGTGAAACAGGCGACCGCCTGCCCGACAGCGGCCGCTGTCGGTTTCGGACAACATTCAATTTGTTGCTGGGCATCATACCCATTTTTACCGTACCCATTTCGGTCGTCCAAACTATGGCGGCGCGCAGAGCGGGGGGTTGGCGTTGGGGGGGAAGGCTTCTCGGGAGGAGGCTGCTTCTTAGAAGGCGCCAGCCTTACATCTGTAGGCAAGGCCCGCGCCTTCTGAGGAGCAGGGTGCTTCTCTCAGAAGCCTTTCCCCCTCCTCCTACCCCCCTGTGCGCGCCGCCAACTCTACTCGAGGAGCACAGCAACGGTACTGACATAAACTTTCGGAGCTCCGCGCGGATTTCTCGGATCCGCGCCAGGGCCCCCCTGGCGGCGCCTCCGGCGCCGCCCCTGGTGCGCTCCGCGCGCCAGGCGGAGGGGTCCAGCCCCGTTCCAAGAAATCAGCGCGGAGCTCCGAAGTTTCATGTTTATGCAGTTTTTGTTCCTCTATCTGCACGGAATCTCCCAGCTCGGCGAGGGCCACCTGGACATGGAGAGAAATGTCGGAGTGGCCGGCTTCGAGATGGATGATTTCTTTTGGACAAGAGGGAGAATGTTTGGCGAGGTCGAGATGGACTTGGACGTGCGTGATCTGATGGGGCCGCTGAAAGCGGGAGAGGGAGTCTATCCGCCACCGAGCATCCATTGGGCTCAATTTCTGACGTTCCGCATATCGCACCAGCCCATCCAGAAACGACCCCCAGGCAAGTTGCCTTGATCAGGGATGTGCAGAAGCATGCAGTGGCGCAAAGAGGGGGGGCAGCGCCCTGTCACTGCCAACGTCTCCTGCGTATTATCTCGTTTGATTTGGCGGGTCTCCCGCAGAGCGTTGCACAGGCCTTCTGGTTGATTCCTGGTTTACTTGTGACAGCGGAGAGGCGTGGAGAAGTCAGAGTCAACCCCGCAGGCCTTCGCGAACTTTTCCGCGGGATTTCGAGATGGAGCCTCTCTGAGGCCTCTTGCCGCTACTTTGGGCCTCTGGGGCCCCTGCTGGAGGCCTCTGGCGATCTCTTATGGCCCTCTTGGGGGACCTCCTGGATGCCTGGGGCCCTCCCAGGCTGATCCAGGAGACAGGAGGAGGAGGAGGAGGAGGAGGAGAGGAGGAGGACGGGGAAAAGCAGGCGAAGAGGGAGTAGGATGAGGAACAGGGAGGAGGCCAGGAGGAGGCAGGGGGTAGGAGCGAGGATTAGTGATGATGACGACGAGACATAGTCGGAGAACCCCACCAGAGTCTGGGGGCGCCGCAGAGTCTGAACAGCACCTTTTTCAGATGGGGTCCTCGATCCGCCCGCCTCCCCCCGTGGGAGCACCACACACGGCCTCTGGACGCCCTCTCGGGGGGGGACTCTCGGGGACCTTTGGTCCGCCTTGGAGCTCTCCTTCGAAGAAGAAAACGCCATACAACATGAACTTGGGGCGCTCCGCGCGGATTTCTCGGCTCCGCGCTGGACCCAATCAGCGGCGCCTCTGGCGCCGCCCCTGGCGCGCTCCGCGCGCCGGGGAAGGGGGTCCGGCGCGGATCCAAGAAGGCCCCGAGCGAGCGCTCCAGCGGCATGCCCAGGAGGAGGAGGAGGAGGAGGAGGAGGAGGAGGAGGAGGAGGAGGAGGAGGAGGAGGAGGAGGAGGAGGAGGAGGAGGAGGAGGGGACGCCCCGAGCGAGCGCTCCAGCGGCATGCCCAGGAGAGAGGAGGCGCCTCAGGAGAGCCTCGCGGCCGCTCGTGGCCGCCGCGGCCCCCCGGGCCCTTGGCCCGCGCCGCTGCCCTGCGCCTTGCTCCGCCCGCCAGGGGGCTCGCCCCCCCCCCCCCCCGCCTCCCCTCCCGCGGGGCGCCCCTGCCGCCCGCCCCCCGCCGCGCGGCGCGCCGGCCGCCGCGCGGCGCCATGCCGTCGTTCAAGGCGCGCTGCGGGCGGGGGGGTCCTTTCGCCCCCAAGCGCTGCGTCTCCCCCGCCTCGCCCCGCTCCCTCCCCTCCCCCGTCGCCCTGTCGCCCCGCCGCCCCGCCGCCCGTTCTCCCACCAAGGGAGGAAAAGCCACCCGGGGCCGACAATCGAGGTTTACTGAACGGCCCTGGGCGTTTACTAAACAGCCTTGCCCTGTTCGATTCCTTCTTTGGGTGCGTTTACTCAACGGCTTCGCTTGTCGGGCTGATTGTTATGGGGTTGGATTTTCTGCCCTCTACGTCCTTCCATTGTCTCCTCCCTCCCTCCCACTTCCCTGAATCGTTGAGCCCACACCCTGTCGGCGGTTCACCTCAGAGCACCGCGGGCGCCCGCGAATTCCAGAAGGATTTGTTGTCTTAGTACTACTTCTTTCCCACGACGAGCAGTTTTACCCCCCCCCCCCAGATCAGCCACGAAAGGGGCGGCCTTTTGTCCGAACCCCCTGGAACCCTCCAGGACAGCTCGAATCCCCCCTCCAAATCAGACCTCCCCCTCTTTACTGCGGACTGGGGAGTACCTTTGAGGAGGCGACTTGGGACGGGAGGGTGTACAGTCGAAATCGATGATGAGGATGGTAACCTTCCAAATGGCACCCTTGCATCCTTGGCTCTTCGGGTCCATCTTTAACCGCTCTCGATGGCCAGCCCTGGTCGGAAAGCTTCGACATGGGCGTGCAAGGGACTTGCATCCTTGTCGCGCATCCTAACCATCAGTTTTGACCGTACTGCAGCATCGTTGATACATTTCCTCTGGCCCTCATCCTCGTCCTCCTCCTGTCCTCCCGGCGCGCCCAGCCTGGGCGAGGACGGGGTCACGTGACCCTGCGACGGGCTATTCAGTGCATGCCATCGTGCGCGCTGCTCCTATTCAGACTACAGCGGGGGCGCGCATCAAGAAACCATCTGCTTGCCGTCAGGGTATCCTGGGTTTCTTCGCTCCGCGCGCTGCGCGCGGTGGCTTCTCGCAGCCGTTGAAGAAGCTGGTGCGTTCAGGGTGCTCTGGGTTTCCCCTCAGGTGCACCTCGCGCGCGGGTTTTCAGGGTTGGGTTTGTTGCGAGAGTTTCTTGCTGCTGCGCCCGCACTGTATGCAGTGCGTGGCTTTGTTTTCTCTGAGGTCGATGGCTGATGAAGAGAAGAACTCCTGTTCTCCCTCCCCGCTTCCTTCCGAGTTCGCCTGGGGGCCGCGCGAGCGCAATTCGAGCCCAGCCTGGCGGGGCCATCTTGGTTGGAGCGCCAGTGCAGAAGCAGGTCTGTCTTTGGGGTGTCGGCGCTGGCTGGGGAGATCTCGAGAGCCTGTCGAGGCTGTCTTGGGCTCCCTCAGGGCCGTCTTGGGCTGGTGTTGCCACTTTGGAACAGCATTCGAGCTATCTTGTGCTGTGTACGACCGTCTTCTGGAGGTCCTGGATGCGGACATCTTACAGGAAGGCTGCCTGTAGCTGCGCGTTCACCCCGCGAAGCTTGCAGCGATGTTTTCCCACGTCTGCACCTCTCCTGCCGGGTGGCGCAGCGGAATCACTTCCGCCACCGCTGGGGAGAGGGATTCCCAACTTCCCAACTGATGGGAACGGAATTCCACAACATTCGTTCGACCTCACCGTCTAGGGCGGGAGAGCGCGCGCAAGATTGAACAATGCCTCAGGAGGAGGAGGAGGAGGAGGAGGAGGACCCCGTGTAAAACCCGAGACGCATCAGCGTTACTGCAGTAAGCCCTCCCTGCGAGTTCCGTGACCGTATGTCCCTACAATAATTTATTTCCACAGTGGGAAGTGACCCATTAGAAGACAACCTCTCAGAATCCTGAAACGTGCCAGAACCCCAATCCTGGGACATCGCCGCGAATCAACGTGAGTGTATGTCCTGACAGTCCTAATTCGTGCAGGAACGCAGTTCCTTGGACTTCATACATACAGAACCCTCAATTGCTGCAAACCTTCAAGACGAATGTACGCGGCGCTAAGATGAGAGCCACATTCTGAAAATGAACAGCCCTCCATCTTTGAAGCTGCTGCATTATTTAATCGCTTCGCTCATTCCGCCGGCCCTGGAGCCCTCTTGAGGCCCTCTTGAGGGCCTCTTGGGGGCCTCTTGGGGACCTCTTGGGAGTCTCTTGGGGCTCCTTGGCGGCGTCTTGGGGCCCCTGCAGCCTCTTGGGGGGCTCTTGGGGACCTCTTGGGTCAGGAGGGGGGGGAGTCGATTGCGCCCCTCCCCTCGGAGGCCACGATCCTCGTGAGGGGTGTCGCAGAATTGCCCAGTCTGGCATCTCTGATCCGAGTGTCCCGGGGGTGGCCCGGGGGTCTCCCGGGGTACTTTTCGTCCGGGGACCCCCAGGGGCGGCCCCGCGCGCGCGCGAACTAGAATATTGTTAACCACTTACCGGAGATCTTAGCACGCCCTTGGCCCGTTGGGCAGGCGAATTGTAAGACGAACGTGCGCGGCGCTAAGGCCAGAACCACACAGTGAAAAGGACCCGCCCTCCATCCGTAAAGCTGTTGCACACTTCTAAGACGAATGTGCGCGGCGCTAAGGCGAGAGCCACATTTTGTAAAGGGCCCGCCTTCCATCCGTGAAACTGTTGCACATGTCAAGCGTCAGGATCATGCATGGTGGGGAAGTCAGGCGAAGCGCTTGGCCCACCCTACCGACACGTCCGGTGGTGCCACAGGGCGGAGTTACTTCTAAGGACAAGGGGTGGATGAGGAAGAGGAAGATGAGGAGGCGGAGGAGTGGGACGAGCAGGAGGAGGAGGAGGAGGAGGAGGAGGAGGAGGAGGAGGATGAGGAGGAGGAGGGCAGCAGGCAGGCAAACAGAAGCAGGCAGCGTTCCGTCGGGGCCAACGGCGGCCAGGGAGGCGCCGACGGGGCGGCGGCGGCGGGCGGGACAGGCGCGGGAGGGGCGCTGGGAACAGCGGGGGCAACTGCTGTCGAGGCTTAAGAGACGGGGGCCAATGCAAACGGGGTCAGCCAGGGCGCCAGTAACCCGGTGCAGTAACCCGGGTTTGGGTGCAGTAACCCGGGTTTGGGTGCAGGATCGCGCAGTATTCTGTAGGGTCTTGCAGGATCTTGCAAGGCCCGACTGGCCCGGATTTGCATTGGCCCAGGTCAGTACGTCCCCGATGCTAGCGGGGGCGGCCCGCGACAACGCGGGCGGCGATGACCACGGGAGGGGGGATTGCCGCGCTCTCGCTTGGGCAGCCGCCCAGCCAGAGCTCGTCCACGCCACCCCCTGGCAGGGGGCCCGCGCGACGCCCTCGGACGGGGGAAGGGAGGGGGGGGGCGCAAGGCGTCGCTGGCAGCGATGCACACGGCGTCAGCCGCGGCCGCCCCACTGCCCCTCAGGAGGCAATCTACGGCGACCCAGGCAATCTTAGAGGTCTCCCAGGGTCAACCGGGGCCAGAAAACGTGATCATGAACTTCATGACCTGTACGCCGTATGTCTTTTTCAGTGTCTTCTGGCTATCAGGGACGTCGTGGGCCTCTCGTAGGCTTCGTAGGAGCAGGCCAGTGCAGTCGTGACGTCTCCGAGCGACGTTGGACGATCTCGAGGTGCTCGTGGAACGTCTTGGGACGGCTCTGGAGACCCTCCGCCCCCCCAACCGTTTTGGTATTCTCGTCCTCCTTCTTCGCGTGCTCCCCCTGAGATGGAATCGTGTTGCCCCAAGTGAGTGCAGTGGTTCTAGGAAGGGCGGGTCGGACTTCGTACGCCTGGATTTGGAGTTGGCCTGGTGTTCTCCCCTGGTGGCGATCGACCAGCGAGGCGACACGTGAAAACGTGATGTGACACAGTGCGTGATTGGGGTTCTTTATCCTGCGAGGAAACCCCTTTTCGCTCCCTCCGAGTTGTACTCACGATAAGGGAGATGCGATCGTCCGGCAAGGAGGATCCGTGATGATTCGAGCGTTCTGCTACGAGGATAATGACCATCCGTGGCACAACTGCAACAACAGCAACACGTGGGCTGTCGTTCTTTCTGTCGTCCTCCTTCGCTGTCTTGGCAGTGCCAGGAGCACAGCATGTGCGCGTCGGTGGCTTGCCCTGCCGCGGCAGGGCATGCCCTGCTGCAACATGGAGACCTTTGGGGGCGCCCCCCCGACGTGTACCGCGCTGGCGCCCGAGGGAGGGGGCGATGAGGGAGGCCACCTCCACCAGAGCTCCATTCGTCTTCCCTCTCTAGCAGAAGATAAAACGCCATAAACGTAAACTTTTAGCTCTCCGCGCGGATTTCTTGGATCTGCGCCGGACCCCCCTCCCTGGCGTGCGGAGCGCGCCAGGGGCGGCGCCGCGCCGGGGGAGGCGCCGCCGTGGGGGGGGCCCGGCGCGGATACAAGAAATCCGCGCGGAACGCCAAAAGTTTAGGTGTATGTATTTTTTTCTTCTTCTGTTCTCTCCTCTAGTTCCTCCCTGGGCTGTATGGGGGTGTCGACTTTCTCCTGCCACCCCATGCGCCGTGCGCTCGGGGCGGCGCGGGCCTGTGCGCCCTCTCGTGATGCCTTGCCCGATGGTCCCCCCGCAACTCCTGTAGCCGACGAGGAGGGGGAGCGGAAGGTGGATGAAGAGGAGGGAGGCGGAGGCGAATTAGGAGGATAAAAACGAGGAGGAGGAGGAGGAGGAGGAGGACGAAGAGGAGGAGGAGGACGAAGAGGAGGAGGAGGAGGAGGAGGAGGAAAGGGAGGAGGAGGAGGAGGAGGAGGAGGAGGAGGAGGAGGAAGAGGAGGAGGAGGAGGAGGAGGAGGAGGAGGAGGAGGAGGAGTGTAAAACGATGCTGAAATAAACTCTCCCTCCGAGCTCCTTCTTCACATTTGCCTACAAGGATTCATTTCGAATGGGGGAAGTGACACGTTGGGAGACAACCGTTTGAAGGTCCTGAAGCGTGCCCAAACACAATTCTCGGGACTCAGACGCCACGAATCAAGCTGTCTGTTGCGTCTTAACGATTCTGAATTGTGCCAGGACGCATTTC